GCAGCTGCTCCCACAAGTACTTGGTGATGATTTGAGTCCACTCTAGGGGAAAGACGGAGATAGGGCTATGTGACACTGTCCCTCGCCACGTGGCAGTCCCCCCTTATGTGCAGCTTTGCTTTCTGCCTTTTCAGTGACCCACAGTCAAATGCGGTCTGAAAATAAGTACGTATTCCCAACCATCGACATCATCTGTTCCTGAGATCTGAACATCAATACGGTCACTCATGGCTCCATGACCCAGGATCAACCAAAGCAGATGATCCTCCTCTGATGTATCATCAGAACGTCAGCCGTGGCCTAGAACTATGTCACAATGTCTGCGTCATTCACCTCACTGCAGCTCATCATGCAGGCATTTTATTATCTCATATCATGTCAAGAAGGATGGGTACAACACAAGATATTTTGAGACAGAGACCACACACACAAAACTTTTATTACAGTAGATGGTCCTAACTGTTCTATTTTTAGTTACTGTTGTTAATCTGATCTCTTACTGTGCCTAACTTGTAAGTTTTATCATAGGTATGTATGTATAGGAAAAACCACAGTATATATTGGGTTTGATACTATCTGTGGTTTCAGGAATCCACTGAGGGGCCTGACCAGTGTGGCTCACTTGGTTGGGCATCGCCCCACAAAGCAAAAGGTTGCTGGTTTGATTCCTGATCAGGGCACATGCCCAGGTGTGGGTTCGGTCCCCAGCTGGGGCACACATGAGAGGCTGCTTCTCTCTCACATCGATGTTTCTCTTCCTCTTTCTCCCTCTCTTCCCCTCTCGCTAAAAAATAAATAAAATCTTAAAAAACAGAAGGAATCCACTGAGGGTCTCAGAATGTATCCCCCTAGGATAAGGGGACTCCTATACTTCTAAATCCTATTCATCCTCTTTCGCTTATGGCAACTGCTCTCCAAAGAAAGTACTGTTTCTGTCCACTGAAGACTCAAAAGAGGTTTCTGCCTCCTCTTTTGACACTTACTACTTTCTATACGCAAGCATGTGATTCGTACACATGCCTTGGCATCCCTAGAAGACTGTAAGCACCCTAAGGCCAGGGATGAGGTTCCGGTCCTCTTCAGGGCCCAGTACACGCACACAGTAGACACTCAAGCTCCTGGATATTTACTAAATTGAGAGAATGCAACATACAAGCAGGAGAAAGGAAGGCCGATAAAGAGAATAATTCCAAGGGTCTATCACTTCTTGAAGCAATCAGTGGTGGGACGGACCACTGGTGTTAGGAGTCACTCACCCACAAAGGGGTCGGTGACATGCCTCTTCTTAACCTTGGTCTCAGTGATTGCTGCATAGTAGGCACAGGTCATCTTAATGAGCCAGGCGGCCCGCATCACAGGCACTGTGTATTTGGCTAAGTACCCAAACACTTCTTCCTTCTTACTGAAAATGGGGACCTGGATGGAGATCACAAACAGTGAGACCACTATTGCCACCACAATCTGTCAGCCATGTAGCTTAATCTGGGAACAGGAGGGTACTTGGTACCCACGCTCCCCATCTTGGCCCAAGGAACAGGAAACAGTATCTCACCTTCTTGGCTAGTTGTGTGAGTGGCTTGGTGCCAGCCAGGTCAGTGAACCAGGTGTTAATGGCACTCTGGGATCGTGCGGTCACCAGCCAAAAGTTGTCCTTCTGGTTCACTTGGGGCTTCCTGCGACCAGTGTCAGGGAGGGTATTGCAACGTAACTTCTCTGCAATAATGCTGCTGAAGTTGGAACTGATCTGAGGGAAGAAAACTATACCTCAGGGTGGGAAGAAAGGGCAGAAAGAGGTGGTAGTGCCTTTGATGGGCAACTGCCAACGTGGTAGCATTAGTTTAGGAAGGAAAACTCAGGCACTGAGATTGTCCCTTTAAGTCTTCCCAACCCATGGCCTTTGCTCCTTCTCAGATTCTTCCAGCCTTTTCCTTCAGCCTGGCAGGGTTTTCTCACCTTGGCAGGATTGAAGTTGACATTCTTGGCACTGCCATGTTCATCCCCAGAGACAGCAGGCTGGTTATTGAAACCTTGTTTTACATTCAAGGCTGTCAGTTCGTCCTGAGGCAGGAAAGCCACATTTTAGCGTTTTTTTCCCCAGAGGGGTAGTGGTGGTGGGAGAGGAGGGCAGGAGAAAAGGAGGGAAGAAGGCGGGCCGGGGGGGGAGGGGGGACAAGGTGCGAGGAGTCCTCTGAGTAGCACAGATTGTTACTTAGCGCGAGGCCCCGATATTCATTTAGACCCTCAGCCCGAGTCACTCCGGTTCCCCATCACCCAGGGCTCACCCAACAGCGCTCGTTGCCTACAAGCTTCCTTAAGACAACTTTCCGAGGGGTGTGTGTACAGAGGGGGGGGAGCTCCTGCGAGACCCCTTCGTCGTTCCGCAGTCACACCCAGAAACCGCCCCCCCCACCCCGGTGCCCTGCAGGTTCCACTCTCCTGCACCCACTTTACTCTTTCCCCTTTCGGGACTTTCGCTCTCACCAGACCGCACCGCCTCCCCTTCCCCAAACCCTCTGTGATTCCACCCGTGCTGACCGTTGGTCTCTGGCCCCGCGAGAACCCCGGCTTGTGAACATACCTCCTTCTGTTTGGGATCTTGAGGGTACACATCCGGAGGCCCCAGCCGCGGCCGCTTCAGAGGCCGGTGTTCGTAGCTCAAGATCCCGAAGGCCGCCATCTTGCCCAGCCCGGACCGCCGGAGGCCCCGGCTGGGCCGGCTCCGCGGGAGGGGGAGCCGCCAGGGGGGCGGCGGTGGCGAGCACCGCGGCCGAGAGACAACAGGGGGCACGTTAGAAACTCTCGATCATTGCCGGAAACTACCGAGGGTAACCGAGGGACGCCGGAAACCGGCGGACAATACGGACCTCCGCGGGGCGGGGCCTGCGTGGGGCGGAGCTTCGCGCCCAAGAGCTTTTCGGCCGCAGATCGATTTCACATGGCTGGCAGCTGCGAACTGTCCCGAAGCCGCGCGGTGGGCGGGGATGTGAACTTGCGAGGCGGGTGGCAGCCGCGCTGCCGAGCTGTGACTGGTGCTGGTTGCCGGGCGCCTCGCTCAGTTCTGGGCCTGGAATGGGTGCTCGATGGTATTAGTTTCCGCATCGGAAAAATGGGTGTATTTATTATACAGCCTTCAAAGGATCGTTGTGAAAATTAGGACCTGTGTATACTGACAAAGCATTCATTAAATTCAGAAAGGCTAAATCTAATCCTTCTAGGTCTTTATGGTCTAGCACTGTGACTCTTTTAAATTGATTTTAGAGCGAAGATGAGAGAGAGAGAGACAGAGATCTGTAGTCTCACTTATCTGTACTTTAATTGCTTGATTTCTGTATGTGCCCTGACCAGGATCGAACTCAGGTTGTATGGGGATGATGCTTTAACCACTCAGCACCCTGCCAGGGCCTGGCGCTGAGAGTCTTAACTTTTTCTGATTCACAGCCTCTTGGAGATGCTGATGGAAGCTGTCGCCCTTCTACCCCAAAAAGGAACGGAGAGACACACAAAATGTTGCCATTCTTTCCAGGAAGGTTTTTACACCCCCGCCCCGAAGCTCATCCTCTTAATTTCCAGGAATTTCAGGTTAATAACCCTTACTCTAGCGAAAGAGGCACCTACTAAGTGTCAGATTCTTTTCAGACATTATGTCCTTTAATCTGCACACAGCCCCATGAGTTAGGGATTTACTGTCTTCATTTTATGGACAAGGCGGTTGATTTTCCAAGAGCAGAAGTTCACTGGCCGGATATTAGATAACGACTAAGTCACAGAGCTGAGATTAAGATTTTTTTCTTCGCTCTTGAGACAATATTCTTTTGATGATGGTGTTGCCTTTTAGAGACAAGATATACCCCTGTAATAAAAGTAACAAATTACAATGAAAATAAAAGTAGCAAACAACAAAAATAATAACAAAATTCTACTGAATCACAATGGGGACACACATTAATTCTGATTTCAGAGAGGAAACATTCTGCTTGGAGGAGGTGATATCTGAGCTGACCCTGAAAAATTTAAACATAGAGAAAATTAGGGTGGGTTACAACGCAAGCACAGAGTCTGGCACATATTAAAGGCTTGATAAATGTTCGCTGAATAAATAATTTTTCTAAATAGTTTCTCCAATCAGCTCTATATTTTAGGGAAGGTAAATCTGGCAATGAGATGAAGAATGGATGGGCGAGCAGGGGGTCTTTAGAAAGAAAGGGAGGCCAGTTGGTGGGTTCTAGTAAGAATCATGACCAGAGGGAATGAAAGGTCGATTTAGCACAATGGCCATGCTCATGGAAAGGAGGGCACTGCTGGGAGAAACACTGTAGAAAGTGGAGCTGATTGGAGCTCAGGGTGAGAGAGAGGGAGGAATTGGAGATGACCTTGAGATTTAAAGTCTGGGTGGCTGAGAAAGTGATGATGCCATTAACTCAGATGGAGAATACAGGAAGGGAAGCAGACAGAGGGGAAGAAGAGGAGTTAGAATCCTCCATTTCCAGAATCTCCATCTAAGTCAGACCTCCTCAGCAGTGTCAACGGAGATCCAGCTCAGCCAGGAGCTAAGTGCGGATATTGTGGTTGGGATTCATTCAGAGGAAAGACAGCTATCTATGTGCCCACAAGAGTCAAGACTGTATTTTCCATCCAGTCAAGACAGTAGCGCTTTGACGGAATTTTCAGGGTGGCTAAGCCAAGGAAGGAGTGTAGCATAGGATGGGAAAGAAGTTAGACCCTCCACTATATAGGATGAAATGATTTTGATGAGAAGGTGGTTGGGAATGGTGGTGGCGATAAGATCCTTCCCAGGATCTAGGTGATCTAAGGATTCTTGAGTCTGAGACAGTGTTCTATACTCAGCCTCCTTAACACCACTTCCCGGCTGGGCGGTGTTACACCTACAGATTAGATCAACCACTTAATCTCCCAGAAGACTTAGCCTGTGTCACAGCACACTTTTGCCACACCCTCTATAAAGCCCCGGTTTTCTAAGGTTCTTTCCACCGGAAGCTATGACAGAAGGAAATGTCTGGGTGAGGAGGGGTAGTGGGTGAGGGGCCCAGGTTCCTGACACAGTATACGCAGGGAACTAAAGAGCAAGAGCGCCATGTTGAAGCGACCACTGCCACTCAGATTCCTCTTGTTCCTGCAGCTGCCTCTGCTGGGTGTGGGGCACACCACAGAGTTCCTCACACCGACTAATGGGAATGAAAGCATCACAGCTGGTGGGAAACCTGGTACTGGAAGGGCTTGGTGATAAGGGTGGTTGTGGGAAGGGGCCATACAAAAATCTGGAACCTGCCACTGCGTGTAGGTAGAATTTAAGAGTACTGGGGGGAAGGGGGGGAAGGGCTCCCCGCCTCATGCTGCTCCTTCTTCTGACCATCATTTCTTCTCTCCCCCTCCCCCACTTCATTTTCTCCCCAACCTAGATTTCTCCCTGACCTCCACACTCCCCGGAATCTTCGATTTGTCCACCCTTCCCCTTCCAGAGGTTCAGTGTTTTGTATTCAATGTCGAGTATATGAATTGCACTTGGAACAGCAGCTCTGAGCCCCAGCCCACCAACCTGACACTGCGCTACTGGTATGAGAAAGGAAGAGGGGATAGTACAGGGGTGGAAGAGGAGGTGGGCTGGATGTGAGAGACTGCATGGGACCCAAGAAAGAGGGTAGCCAGAATTCCAGGCACTCCGGTATTTTCTCATGGGGTAAGTCCTAAGTTAGTTCAGAGGAGATGAGGCCGGGCTGTGGATGTCTGTAGCACCCAAGTTTATCCCAGCATTCTTCTTCTTTCTAACCCTTCTCTAGGTACAAGAACTTTAAAGACAAAGCCCAAGAGTGTGGCCACTATCTATTCTCTTCAGAGATCACTTCTGGCTGTTGGTTACAAAAAAAGGAGATCCATCTCTACGAAACATTTGTTGTCCAGCTCCAGGACCCACGGAAACCTAGGAGGCAGACCATACAGACGCTAAAACTGCAGGATCTGGGTAACTTGACAGGGGGCTCAAGAGTCCAGGGATTGTGGGGCATTGAAGTGTACAGAGCTGTGTCCTTTCACCATTAGGGTACATGGCCAGAAAGGAGGAGGTGAGGGTTTGAGATGAGGAAGGGAGGAGGGATCAGGAGCACTACCTTGAGGATCCTGACTTATCTAGGTCAGGGGAATGACCACTCACACACACATATCTCCAGTGATTCCCTGGGCTCCGGAGAACCTAACTGTTCAAAAGCTGAGTGAATCGCAGCTGCAGCTGAACTGGAGCAACAGATACTTGGACCACTGTTTGGAGCACATGGTGCAGTACCGGAGTGACCGGGACCACAGCTGGACTGTAAGTGATTGGGGATAGGAACATATCAGCTAAAACCAAGCAGGTGGGGATAAAGGATTCCATCAGCCAAACAGAAGAGCTTGATTCCAAGCTCCTATTTCTCTGCCTTCCAATACCTCTGCCTTTCTCCAATTCTTTCCTTAGCACCCAGTGAGTTTTCATTAGGGTTTCCCTACCCATAGTCTTCCCAACACCGGAGACAGGTAAACCAAAGGAAGCCTTTAAGGGGATCTGGAGACACTGGCTGGTGTGGCTCAGTGGATTGACTGCCGGCCTGTGAACCAAAGGCTCGCGGGTTTGATTCTGCGCATGCCTGGGTTGCAGGTCAGGTTCCTAGTAGGGGGCGTGCAAGAGGCAACCACAAATTGATGTTTCTCTCCCTCTCTTTCTCCCCCCCTCCCCGTTTAAAAGTAAATAAATGAAATGATTTTTTAAAAAATTGGAGTGGAGGGTAGGGGGAGACCTGGAGAGGGGCATTAGATTCTAGTTAATGGAGGGAGGGAGCCCTGTAGCTTGAGTAGTCAAGAGAGGAGGGAGGGACTGGGAAGAGCCAGAAGATGATGTTGGGGGAGGGGCAGCCTTTTAATTCTTCCTTCTTTTATAGACACCCATCTTTCCCTCATGCTTTCTCTCCCCAAGGAACAATCTGTGGACCACAGACAAAGCTTCTTTCTGCCTAGTGTGGACGCGCAGAAACTCTACACGTTTCGTGTTCGGAGCCGCTATAACCCACTCTGTGGAAGCGCTCAGCGTTGGAGTGAATGGAGCCAATCGATCCAGTGGGGTGGCCATACTTCAAAAGGTAAAATGGACTGCAACCTGTGAGGCCCCTCGCTGTTCCACCCCAAACCCCAGGAAGCAGCGTTTTTCTGTGTAGGGTTGGGTCGCTGTGTTGTTAGAGTAGGGGGATGGGTTGGGAAGAAGGCCAAGGAGTGCTCAAAAGGGAGATAGAATGTATTAGCCACCCCTACAGCATTCCAGGGAAGGCAGCAACATAGTGCAGATGGTTTTGGACCAGCCAAATATCCGGCATAAACCTGCCTCTGCCATTTACTGCCTCTTCGATCTTGGGCACTTCACTAACCTTCTTGATTGTCCTTCCTCATCTGTAAAATGGAGATACTAATTGGTCCCCTTCTCAGGAGTTGTGAGGATAAAGTATACAGAAAAGTGTTTAGCATAATATCAGGCACCTAGTTGGGGCTCTACCACTGTTGGCATGTCGTAGGGGTGTGCAGAGCATTAGGGCTCTTTTCCTTTCCTCTTCTTCATAGAGCCCCCGCCGTGGTTTCAAGTGGAAGCCGTAATAATCCCCCTCGGCTCCATGGGACTGATTATTATTAGCCTCATCGGTATTATCCTCATCTGCGTGTACTGCTGGCTGGAAAGGTGAGACTTCGGGAATCCCAGAAAAAAGAGGCAGGGGTGGCTGGGAATAGTAGAAGAGATTCATGATGACGGTGTTTCTCGAAGAAGAGGGCAGGGCGGTAAGGAATGAGGGGGGGTCACCCAAATGGATGTAGGGATGGAAGGAAGCTATAGGCACAGAGAACATGGAATCTCTTTATTGCACATGGGAGAACTGGGAAGAAAGTATAATAAAAGAGTGACGCCAACGTGCTCTTGCCCCCTTTTTTCTGCCCCTTCCCCAGGGTGATGCCCCGAATTCCCCACCTCAAAAGCCTAGAGGATCTGGTTACGGAATACCACGGCAACTTTTTGGTGAGAACATGGTCGTAGGGGGACTGCAGTCTGTCAACGGCCGACTTCCTGCAGGAAGACAGAGTGTAGGGGGTGGGCAAAGGGGAGGAGGCCCCCCACACACTAACTGTCAGTAAGTGGCCGACCAGTTGTGGGGTGGGGGAGATGGAGAGAGACCTGCGGAAGAGCAGATTATAGATTGATTGAGGCAGATGGACATAGTGGTGTCGGTAGCCCAGAGGTCTGTGTGTCCCATAATCGCAGTGGTGAAGAGGGAGTGAACGCTCTCTTGGCACAGAGCCTGGGCCTTTTTTTTCCTACTCCTTCTTGACCCCTGACCTGGACCTATCTGTCTTTAGGCCTGGAGTGGTGTGTCTAAGGGGCTGGCGGAGAGCCTGCAGCCAGACTACAGCGAACGGCTCTGCCACGTCAGTGAGATTCCCCCCAAAGGAGGGGCTCCCGGGGAGGGCCCTGGGGGCTCCCCCTGCAGCCAGCATAGCCCCTACTGGGCTCCCCCATGTTAAACCTTGAGACCTGAAACCTGAGCCCTGATACCGTGGCAGAACTCCAGGGTCGTGGAGCCCTGCATTGTACTAACTTCTCCTTATTCAACCAGCCTGGACCCAATTCTCCTCTAGCCCCACCGTGGCTGACTTTGAATTTTGTACCCCCTATAACTGCCCCCTCATTCAATATTCTCCTCCGTAAGAATTGCCCCTTCGGCCTGTACGTGTTTCTCATCTCCCTCAATCCACCAGCCTTTCCTCTTCCCGGAATCCTCCCTCCCTCCCTTCCTCCCTTCCCACTTCCTTCATCTTTCCATTTACCCTTTAGTTGTTCCCAAATCAATGAGAAATAAAGTTTCTGTTGACAATAATCAAGAATGTCTGTTGTTGGTGCAGGGGAAACTTGAAGTACAGTAAGAATGGGGGGCATGGTGCTGAGGGTAGGGAAAAGGAATACTAGACTCTTGCTGTGAAAGCAGTAGTACCACAAATTCACTAGAAAAAGTGCAGTTCCAGAAACTTCACTTTTCTCCGAGGCATCCTTCTGGGGCCCATTTTAGAGTTAGATTTACATGTTGCCCCTATTTCCCAATGAATCTTCTACAGACCCCACCCAGGTTCTTTTCCTGATCCTTATTCCGAGTTCTACCCCACAGGCCACTTCTGACCTCATAATCCCTCCACTGCAACCTCAGGCCCCACCCCCTAGCGATGCTGGTTATCTACAACTGCCCAGAGCTAACTGCCCAGAGCTCTCTCCCGTCTTCCCTGGCCTGCACTTCCTTTAGCATGTGATCCACCTGCCTCTCCAATCCCCCAACCCCATGGATTTCCCAAGGTCTCCAGAACACCCTCCTTCCTCATGACTCATCAGGCCCTTTCTGAAAAGTAAGATCTTGACAGCATGTTCATCTACATCACATATGGAGGTGAGGGTCATCATGGAGGAACTGGAGTCCATGTGTAGGGCTGGGAAAGTTGGAGGGTAGTGGCGATCGCAGGAACAGTACAACCAGGGAAGGGTCATATGCCCCATTTCATCTCTTCTCAGATGATCAGACTTTAATTGCCAATACCAATTGTGCTGTCTACCACCTGCTGTATTACGTCCGCAGAAAACTGGGGTTGTCTAAAAGAGGTGAGGAGTTTGGGGAGGGGTCTAATGGCCAAGGGACAGAAGCAGGAGGGTCATCTCTGGCCCCCAAGGCCTCCTGCCGGCAAGAAGAGAGCTCCTTGAATCCCCTTATGGAAAGGATACCTGGCCCCCTTTACCCCCACTCTCCTTCCTCAGCAGCCCCAATTACCCCTGTGGCCTCCCTCCAGGCTCCATCGATTTGTGTGATACAGCAGGAACAATGAAGTTGTTTTTCCTGATGAAGAAGCCTGGAGACTATGCCAACAAATACCTTACATCTCGAAACACCTACTATGTCTGTAGGGTGATACGTGGGAAACCAGGTAGAGGCTTGGGAGCAATTCCCCAGAGATAGAGCAAGGTCCTCAGGATGGATTGTATGTGGACTTTGTCCTTAAAATAGGACACTCTCAACCAGGTCTAACTGACCATGTCAAGTCGGCCTAAGAAGGGGCAGTGCCTGTAACAATAGGTCAGGTTCACACATACCACACCCACCCCCCCCCCTTGGTCCTAGGGATGGATCTGAGGGGAGGGAATGAGGTAAAGCAGCTCAAGTTAGTGTTGAGTGGTAGGGTCCTGAAATGTTGGGCTTTGTAAGGGTGGAGACTGGGTAATGAGCCGGGGATAGCATACTGCTGTATTCACAGGAACCCAACATGCCAATGCCTTCCTAGCCTTTGTACCTCTCCTGAAGAATCCAGAACAAGCAGTAGTCGGTAAGGAGCATGGAGGAAAAAGGAGGAACACAGAGAGTTCCCCATATAGCTGGTGATGGAGAATATAGGGTGGGAGTGCTGTCATACAGCAAAGGGGATCACAGGATCCTAGGAAAAGGGAAATAGGGTCTAGGTCCACTTTAGGAGGGACGCTTAGCTCAAACCAGGTGCATTGTGTGTCATTTACTGCTCCCCCCATTTCTCAGTCATCTCAGTATATCTCCCTATCACCACCCCATTGTTTCCATCTTTCCCTTCTGTTAAAGCTTAAGCACCTTTAGATAACCCTTCAGACTAACTTCAGGCCAGGTTGCTCCAAGTGATAATTTCAACAATGGGAGGGATGTGACGGGTAGGTAAGGTCGCTAGTCCTCAGAGGTGGGGTGCCTTTCCCTGGTTTCCAGAGGCCTTGCGCTTACAATGTGCCTTAATGGAGAGAAGCCGACTGAAAATGCTTGCAATCAAACAAGCCAGGAGACTAGCTAAAGCCGAATCCGCTAGGAGCTTGGCAGTAAGACTCCCCAAATCTGGTCTGCCCCCGCACCCCCTTTTCCCACCAGCCAACCAGGCTCCTCCACCATGGTCCTCTGGGATACATTTCCTTTCCAAATGTAACACCCATGCCCAAGACCTGCCTTTCACCTCTGTTGTCCTGCCCTTGGCCCTAGTTTGTAGAAAGCTTCCTTGCACGAACCTCTTTATCTGACTGACCCTTTCCTTTTCTAGGCCAAAAAAGGTGGAACCAAGTCCACTCGCAAGGGCGCAGGCCAGAAGCTCAGGGTAAGCTTTAAAACTCCCACTCCAAAGCCGAAACGAAAACCAAATAAAGTGACCAAGTGAGAGCAGCAATACTATGAAATGACTGGAATTTAATGTGAGGTTCCTTTTTCAAGAGAGCCCTTCTCCCAGGAGTTGCAGGGAGGCCTGAGTATGTTTGGGGCACCCTGGAGGCTCCGAGGGTGGATAGGAGTAGTGGGAGAGGGCTGGGGCGTGCACGTGGGTGGGGGTGAGGAGAGAATGGGAAGCTTAGTACAATGAGCCTTTGAGGGACAGAGGGACAGAGTAGGGGGGTGGGGTCTTTTCTAGCCAGACTACCAAAGGAGGCCTATCAAAGCCTGCCCACCCCTGCTTGGGTGAGGTGGCTGACGGGCCACTTCCCTCCTCCCACCCCCACCTTCTGCCCCTGCTGAAATTCCCCCACCCCCACTTCTCAGCCTCTGGGCAGTCCCTCCCGCCAAAACTTTGCCTTTCCCCCTCCCTCTCCCTCGTCCGCGGGCAGCAAGGCAGCAGAAACCAGAGCTGGTTATAGGCATTTATTGAATTTATTCATTTATTGATTTGACACACTACCCCACTCAAATCTAGCACATGATACAATCTGGGTAGGCCAGGCACTGACACAGGAAATGATGGGAACCCACAGCAGGGGTGGGGGAGGGGACAATGCAAAGGGGACTGGGGGAGGGGCTGCTTTGGGGGCTGTGGTGGAGGAGCCCCAGATGGCCTCCCTGGCAGGTGCTAGTAAACCTGATCCACATTCCCCTCCATCCCGGCTCATTTCCCAGACCCTCAGCCAAGCTCACCAGCTCCCCCTTCTCTGTCCCGCCCCTCCCCCTGCCCGCCACCACACACACTTCCACATAACCCCTGTAGTCAGGCAAGGGGGAAGAAGGGCAGGGACAGCTGTCAGGGGCCTTGAACAGGGAGGTCTCTGTGCCTAACTTTACCACCCTAAATCCTTCCCTCCTTCTCTTCCCCCTCCCACCCCTTCCCAGGCCACAAACTAATTCCAGGCCTTCAATGCGCTCCCCCACTGCCGCACTAACCCACAGCGGGTCAAGGGAGAGTGTGGCTGCGTCCTGTTACCACACACTCCTAGGCACAAGGTGGCCGAAGGCGGGAGTCTGGCTTAGCTTCTTCATTAGGGAAACTCTGAGCTAGTTCTGCATGGACCCTGTTCTAGAGCTGGGCCACGTGGGACTGCCTCCCCTTGCTCATTCCCCAGGTTTCCCCCAGTGATATCTGTAGTGTTTGCAACGTGCCTCTATGACAAAGCCCTCAGAAAGGAAAAAAAAAAAAAAGCACTCTCTCCATCACTAGCACCTTGCCACTGTTAAAAATCTCTATATTTGTGTTTATAGTTCTTAAAAGTTTATAAAAAGCCTTTCTGCGATCTGCAGTCTTCCAAGGGTCATCTAGCCTGGTGAGCCACTCCAGTGCTCAGACCTTGGCCCTTCCAGGTCCCTACTACCCAACCCCCACCCCCCACCACTGGCCTAAGAGGCCACTGCATACAAACCCCAGGCTCAACCTAGCCTGGACCAGCTCAGAGAAGATGCTACAAAAAAATCCTGCTCCCAAAGGCAGAGGTAAGGCCACTGGTGACTTCACATTTCCAACAGCATTGCTCGCCCCTGCTACGAATCCTAGGGGGTGGGAATGGGGGAGCCCAGGATGGCTCCGGAGAGGGGGCCTTACCCCCTAATTGGCACAGTGAGAATAAACCCCCTCCCTTTCCCTCCCCCCATAGCTCCTATATGGGGCAGCTTTATCTTTAGAATTTCCTGGACACCTGTGTGAATAGGCCCCATCCTAGCTCTAAAGTAGGATCCCAAATTCCCAGGGTGAGGGTCAGGGGTAAAAAGTGGATATGAGCACCCCTGGCTCCACCTCTGAGGCAGGGGACAAAGCTTCCGGCCGTGGCTCAGGGATCTGTGGGAAGAAGAAATGGAGGACAAGGTTAAGAGATTCACTCTGGGGTATGACCACGTCCCACCACCAAGGCCCATGCCCAGGAAAACAGAGACAGCCCCTCTCCTGCCTTTCCTGTGCTATATACCCGGTGAGGGGCCTGGAGGTCCTATGTGGAAACCCTGCCACTCTCACATGACATCCTCCTTCCAGTTCCCCAGGAGCTCCACCTACCCCCTTGTTCCAAGTCTCGCCCTCACTCAGACTGTAGAAGTAGCCGGGCACCCAGGAGTGGGCCTAAGCTGTGAGATACTATGGTGATTGCGGGTACAGTACCTGGCTCGAAGTTGAAGTCCAGTGCCCCGTCCCCATCCATGAGGTCACTGATGATGTTATCCATGTCACACTCCAGGTTCTCCAGATACATGTCAAGATCTAGATCCTGAGGCATTCTGGGTTGGCTTGTAGCTTCCGTAGGGGGTGTAGGCACAGGAGACTCCGGGCTCTTGGGGACGGGAGCTGCCGCCGCCGCCGCCGCCGCCGCCATGCCTGGAGGTGGTGCTACCATTGGAAGCGGGGGAGCCAGACCACTGGGGCCTGGAGCCTCTGGGGGCTTGGGACACAGGCCGATTCCTGTGGCTACATTACTGGAGGAAGGCACACCCCCCAACAGCAGAAGTGTGGGAGCCTGGGACAGAATAGGATCCACCTGGGTCATGAGAACATCAGCAGGGAGGGGTGGTGTGTCAGAGGTAAGCAGGGCCTCCAGGGACTGGGAGCTTGAGAAGCACCCTTCTGCTGACAGGCACCCTTCCGCTGACAGTGACCCCTCTGCTGGGCTGAAGAGGGAGGGGCTGTAGGTGTGCAAGGGGCCCGGAACCCTAGGATGCTGCAAAGAGAGGCCAGACAGACTGCTCTGAGAGAGCAAGGAATGAGAAGATGTTAGATTGAGCCCATCTAACAGCTCCAGATCTTCCTTTAGCGGGGGAGGGACACCCCCTGCAAAGCTGCTGACTGAGGCTGGCATTTCCTCCACCACCACCGCAGCCGCGGCGGCCGTCGCCAGCACCTCGGACTCTGGTCTCAGCGGGGAGAGCCGGGTGCTGACACTGCTAGCATTTGAATTGCTTCGTGGACGGAAGGTGGTCCACACATCGGCTTCCTCGCGGTTTCGAGAGCAAGGGCTGCCTGACCACTTGGTGAAGTGGCCAACCGGGCTCCTCGGAGTGGCACCTTCGGGTGGAGCTGGCAGCACAGCTGGTTTCTTCTTGGGCGCCTTGCTGCGGCCCCGGAGCAGCTTGCTGCTGCTATCCATGGAGGCTGCCCGGCGGCGGGGTGCCTTGCCACTTTTGCCCCCGTCGGGGTTCAGCATCCACCAAGAGCTCTTGCCAGTAGCCTCGTTGTGGACCTTGATGAACTTGCTGTGCAAGGATAGGTTGTGGCGGATCGAGTTCTGGAGAGGGCAGAGGCAACACAAAGGGGGCATGAGTGGTAGAGAGCAGGGGGTCAGTGGGCCACGGTCCACTCTAAAAGGATGCTGGGGCATGGCTGCAGCATTCCTGGAGACGCAGAGCTAGTCAAATACAGCGGGAGAACAGGCAAAGGTAGGGCTGGAGGTTGGGGAGGAGACCACACACACAGTTCCCACCCAGAAGACAAGCTACTCAAGCCTGCGCAAGGGGCACCAGAGACAACCTGAATAACAACCTACTGAAGAGGGCAGGGCACCTACCCTGGAAAAGCTCATAGCATTAAACTCCTCCCAAGTCTCTGGGGGGCTGTCTGGGGCTGGGGGGGGGGTATCAGGACGCCACGCTCCTGGTTCGGCAAGAACTAGGAGGCTCTGATGGGAAAGAGCATTCCACAGCTCCACCCCTTTCCTTGAGTGCTGGCTTGGGTGGAGTTTACAGGACAGTGGCGCAACACCAGACCAGGACTGACCCACCCTGTCCTGAGCCAGTTCTCTGAACAGGCTGAGGGGCTGGAACCTCGGCGCAGCTGGTGCTCCACTCCCCACAGGCATTTGGGTCCTGGCTCTCCAGAGGATTTGAAGAAGCCTTTTTTTTTTTCCCCCTGATTTCTCCCAATTTGCGGGCACACACCCTCAACCACATTCGGGCCAGGCTCCTCACTGTGCCTCAGATACACGAGGCACGTTCCTCCCTCCCTTCCTCCCTGTCCTGGGAAGGAGCTCCCCTCTCTAAATTCTACTGATTCTGCCAGCCCAAGCTTAAGTCTCCTCTTTTTTAGAAAGTGGTTGCTTGACTTCTGCAGCCAAGTTTCTTGTGTTCTTCCCAGTTTCATAGAATTAGTCTCATCAAGTGAAAGCGCCCAGGACACAGATCCTATCATGTAGTCAGGCAGTGCCCCACCCACCAGTAGTGCCCTTCCTCGGAGTACCAAGCTCACAGTACTACTCAGGCTCCCGGTACAGAATCAATTATTTCTTGCCTGCTTGCTGGGGTGGGCCGCAGGTGATGGCCAAGCCCCCTTTGAGTCTCTGTTGGCTCTTGAGTGCCTTGGGGATTAGAAGCTGTATGTTCTCCCTCTGTCTCCCCTTTCTTTCTCTTTCTCTCTCCTCTCTCGCAGGTGACATTCTTCCAAAGATAAGTTGTTTTTCTGCCCAGAGGCCCATGGAATGGAGATTGGCAGACTCCTGAGCCTGCAGAGCAGCTTCATTCTACTGGTTGCCCTAGGCTGGTTAAGCCATTCCTTTGTGCGCCACTCCTCAACTCCCTTCTCTTCCCTATTGCCTTTCACCCACTTCTCCTCGGGAATTTGTGCATAAGATCTCCACAACCTTAGGGGCATTTGACCTCTCACATGGAGCTCTTTAGTGTTTAGAAACACAGGCAAAATCCAGAAGGGCTTGGAGCAACTCGAAGGCTCAGGCTCCGGACAGTCAGAAATCACTTCAAGGGTTTCTCAGCAGTCTAGGTAAGGAGATCCTTTGCCTGGAGAAAGATGCTTAAGTAGTTCTTTCTGGCTAAAGAACATGTCTTCCTGGGACTCTTCAACCACTCCTTCAGGGAACCACACATGTCCATCCAGCCTGGGCTCTTAGTGACTGAGGACCACGGTGACTTCTGGCACCGGGACTTCCCCCCACTTTCATCCTCTAACTCTGTGGTCGACTGAGAAGACCCATT